GTCCAAAAAAAAAAAAAAATCATTCTTATGCATCAAAGTGCAAAATATGTTGCTTTAGAATTTTTTTTCCAAAATAATAGATTTTGTAGAAGAAAACACAAATTACAAACACAAAGACAACGAAGTCGCTGAAAAAGCCAGTCAAACAACTGAAAATGGGAGAGCTACACGGAGTGTATTCTAAAACCAACCTGAAACCAACAAAGACACAAAAAACATAAAACAACAAAAAACTCCCACAAGTGAAGAAATAAGAGCACCCACAAGTGGAGAAGCTCCCAAGCGAGAGGACAAAAAAGAACTAACAAAATAAAAACATTAAAACATTATTATATTAAAATAAATAACGAGTCTAAATTCAATTAGACATGGCCAACGAGCGAGGTTGGCCCGTCGAACTGGTGAGTTACGTCCCTTGACCCTAGCCTCGGGCTTGAACCCAGACCGAGCCCGTGTTAACACCGACTGGTTTTGGATCGCCCTAAAAAAAGCCTGACTCGACAATTTGGGCCCGAATCAAACTCGGGACAACACGAAGGGTTTTCCACTCGACCAGTAGGATTTAATTTGAAAACTAAAATTTAAATTCGAATTTAAATGTTTGATTACGAATTGGGTCAGGCTCATACATTTCTTTGTTTTGTTCTTTGGGGATGTAACTGCAACAGTATAAAAGTAATAGTAAAGTAATCGTTGACGTCTGAAAGTGAACAAATGCTTTCATTATTTTTTTTCTCTATTAAATAATAAAAAAATAAAATTTTGAACAAAATAATTTGCTATGCAGTTTAATCGCATATCTGAATTTACAATTATAAAAATATTATTATTTTTCGATCTATTCTGATATGAAAACAGACGCGCATTTTTCGAGGCACTCACGACTTCGAACAGTTGTTTCCGCGATTCAATATTCGTATCTCTTTGGCAGTCTCTCATAACGATTTTGCGATTCAAAATTGTTGAAAATTTTATAGAGAAAATAAAAATAAGATGACTATATATTGAAAGAGTTATATTTTTGGCAATGAAGTTCAAAAATTAATATAAGTGAAGATATATTCTTGCAAGCATGAGAAATAAAAAGGGAAGTTCTTTTATTTAATTTATATTTATATATTCGAATATATTTATATTTATATTTATATATTCGATGTATATACATATATATTAGATTTACATGATCTTATTATGGATATATTTTGTAGGAAATCATATAAGAAGGAAAGATCTTTGGAAAGAGAAGATAGAGATCTACACCTACCATATCTCTTATGATTTACATGGAAGGAAATTGGATAAACTTGGAAGGAAATCAAAAAGGAGTCCTATACTTGGAGAACACTCCACATCCTAGGGATTGTATATATATCTGCTTGAAGAACGAATTTTGGAGAGCTGAGAGCTGAGAGCATCATATTCTATTCCATATTCGAGCTGCAAGCTTTTTGTGTTTTATTTTTGTTGGTCAGTTTTCGGTGTTCTTACGTCATCGAAGAACTGAAGTCTGTTTTGTTTTCTTTTCTTTGTTTTTCATTCAAACACTTGTGTGATCAGTTCTTAGGGATTAAGTATGTCTTTAGCTCGAGGGATTCGAGAGGTAAAATCCACGGGACGTGGTCGGAGAAGTAGTTGATAGAATCGTGTGTAGTTGTGGCTAGGCTAGAAGGGAGTTCGAGTCGTGTAAGTCCAAACTATACAAGTGTGCACAAACGGTTTATCAATGAAAGAGCTCTGAGGGGAAGTGGGACGCTTCCCTGAAGAGTTTTTAAATCTTCGATTTATTGCTTCCGCATTTTATAATTTTTGTTTTGTTCGTACTACAAGTTGAGCGCACTCGTTACAAAATACCTACGTTTCATATATAAAATAAATATGAGGTAAAGCAAAGTCTCCTCAAAATATATTTGTCCCATATATGAGCATCACTTTTTCAAGGTACAATGCCAAAACCGATTCAAATTTCGCAAACTGGAATTATTCCTAAATCATTATACTATAAGATGTGAAATAAACATACTGTTTACAAAAGTCTAATGCCTCCTTACAAATTTGATTCAATTTTAATTTTTCCTAACAGAATCAAAATCCAAGATACCTCACTAATATCACAACCGACTTTCCGAAAATTTCGTGCAATATCCTAAACAAATCTGTAGGCTGACTAAGAAGCGTCGGCACCATAAAGAATGGGCGAGTTTTGCGCTTGTTTAACCTTAAAAAAGTAAATTGAACGTGAAACTGACTTCAAAGTCTAAACAATTAAATTTAATAACAAAATTTATGTGTATATATATGTGCTTGTGCATGTGGATAACCTCTAAAAGTCAAGTATTATCCTGGCCAGACCAAAATGGTTAGATCATTAGCCATCACGAATTTGAAAAGCGAGACGGCTCTTTTAGTTCAAGGATCATCGGGGCTCGTTTACAAGCTCGGCCTGATTGTACTGTCCATTTCAATCATGTCTACACTTATCTTTGCTTGTGCAGACCATAGCTCCGGCAGGCGGCATAGGAGAGGAAGTCGCATGGGTGGTGCTGGCCGTGGTGGAGGTTGTGGCGGTGATGGCGGCGGTGGTGGCTGTGTTGGTGGTGGTGGTGGTGGTGGTAGTGGAGGAGGAGGAGGAGGTTGAGGTAGTTATTTCTTTNGACTTCGTGCAAGTTTTTTTACTTCGTGTGATGAGTATAATATTGTTGGGTAAAAATGTAATTTGTGTCCTCTTGGATTGACCATGTGATTTAAAAATTCAAGACGTTTTGCTCTTTTGTCCTGTGATTTAAAAATTCAACGCAATTTGAGTCCTTTGAAGACTGAATTTGTAATAAAAATTTAAACTACGAGACTTAAATTGTAAAGTTATTATATATTTAGGATGGACTTTTGGTTAACAATTTCAATCATGTAGTTTTAATTATTGTTGCAATTTCAGTTACAATAACGTTGAATTATTAAATCATAGGACGAAATAGCAAAACGTTAATATCTCATGACTAAAAACGCCATAATGTCAAATTAACGGGACTAAAATTGCAATCTTGCCAATATTGTTGTATTCATAATGCAAACATGTATGTTTTCATGTTAAATGTGTCAAATATTATACCAGCAGTTTTGATAAGCTCAATATATATTTTTTATCATAGGACCCTTACTTTTGTCTTTTAATAACTAGATGTTATTTATGTTTTAGATTAAATCAATTTTCATTTGAAAAACTCATTAGCAAAGTTAAAATATAATAGTTGTCACATAAAACGGTTATTTTAATTCACCCATTACTATTGCGAGATGAGAAGTTAGTACATTGCTGGTGGTCTTATCAACAATCTTTCCAAGATTCAGTCATGGCTATTCTCTCTTCTCTCAGAAAGGGGGTGGAATTTGCTTATCATCAACAGATGCACAACCTGATTTGTAAATTTGGGGACGAAGCTGTGGTGCAAAATTTGTCTACTAAATCTGCTTTTTCTTCTATTTATGATTCAATTGTATCTGATATTTACTTTTTAGTTAGTTGTAGGAAATGTTGCTTTTGTTGTGGACTCATCTGCTTCTTCTGTAGTTTGGTCTAAGACCACTTTGGTCAATCAGGGAGACATCAATGTTTGATGATCCTCTCCGTTTGTGCTTTCTTATTTTAACCCGTTGGTTAATCGAACAATGTAATCTCTGAGTTTGATATTAATATATTTGATGTTTGGAAAAAAAAAAAAAAAAANCCCATTACACTCACTCTCAAACTCAAAAAAGTAACTTAAGAAAGGAAAAATTAGTTTTAGAACCCCAAAATATAGTTAGTTTTTTATTTTGGTACCCAATTTTCTAACTTAATCAGTTTTGGTCACTAAAGATATCGAAATTAATCCCTTTTGGTCCAATAATAAAAAAAATACTTATGGTTGTCACCTTCCATCGCTCGCCACAACCGCCTCTTGTGTCAATTTCTAACAAATCATCTATCAGTTAGAAACTCTCGACTCGACTTGTTGACAGTAGACACCAACCATAACAAAGGTAATTAAGGGATTGTGGATATTAAGGTGGTATAGAATAACGTTTTTTTGTAGTAAATAATGAAATTTAATTAGATTAATGTATATAAAATACTTGATTTTTACATCTTTAACCTTTAATTTGTGTAAAATATGTGGGAAGTAATGAAAAATATTAAAAGTTTATGGGAAAAAGAATCTTTTGAGAAGGAAAAAAAAAACAATTTTAGTACTCAAAGAAAGGGCTGAGCATGGGACTCGGAGAATTCGGAACCGTTCCGAAAACTGAACTGAAATCACTCCGAACCGAAAAATATCCGTTGACCGTTTGACTTTCTCCGAACCGAACCGAAAAAATAACTGGTATGGTTCTGGAGATTTTATAAATATCCGTACCGAGAACCGAACCGAACCGTCCCGTACCGTACCAAAATTAAGACTCGAATTATAAAATTAGATGTGTGTTATACTGTTATTAATATATTTTATGTCAACTTTGATCCTATATAATTTGAGAATTTTTAAAATGCAAATATAATATAGTAATAACAATTAAGATTCAGTTGCATTTCATGTTTAGTAATACTTGATCTACAATTGAATTTCTTCTTATTAAAAAAAATTAAAATGGAATGAAAAGTTAAAGATTTAAAAAAAAAATATTTAAGCTTGACTTAAAGTGTTGATACTTAGTCTTAGTTTATCTTATAACTAACATGGTATGGAAGGTTAAATAAATATTACTTTAATATAAAACTGTAATATATTTTGTTTGAATTTAGAATTTTCAATGTTAGTTGAATTTAGTCTTAACTAAAATTTAGGGTTACTTCTAAAGTTGATTTACAAATAAAATCTTTAGTATGATAAAGTATTGATGAATGTTGGATTTAAAAAAAAAAGTATAAAAAATAAAATATAACTAAGTGGTCATTCAAAACTTTTTTAAAAATGATAAGAATCTCCGAATATTCGAACCGAACCAACCGAACTGAACCGTTTCAATAGTCCCGAAAACCGAACCGAACCGAAAATAAAAATTTCCGAACTGGACCGAACTGATTTTTTGGAGTTCTGGAGATCGAATTTTAGTGATATCCAAACTTCGGTACGATTCTGGAGATTTATCTCCAGAATCGTACCGACTCATTTTCACCCATACTCAAATAATAGTTGCATTTTGCTTTTGGCTCCTGAGGTTCCACCCTAATTAGTTTTTGTAACTAATGTTTTTAAAATCAACTAGTGTGTACTCCGTGCGATGCACGAAAACAATATTAAATTAACGATATTATAAATAGACCTCGAGTTTGAGTCACTCAATGACGGAAGTGGAAACTACTATTGATCCTATTTAAAAAGAGAAAGAAAAAAAATAATTATAAATTAAAGAGGAGGATAAACGATACTTAATAATTATAAATTAAAGATTCGGAGGCAAACAATGTAAAACTTTTTTGTATAAGATAATATGAAATTTACATTATTTTGTATAAGAGAATATAAAATTTGTATGTTTAATATTAAAAACACTTAAAATATTATATTAGTATATGTAAAAGTAAAAAAAAAAAATCTATATTATTTTTGGAAGATGTGAAGTCACCTACAACTTTTCTAAACAATTTTAGAAGGAAAACATATCTAAAAACATTTGAATTTAACATGGTGTAAAAAAGATTTTTCTAGACTATTTTGTAAAGAAAACATGTCTACAAATATTTAAATTTAACATAAATTATGTATATGTGTATATGTATATATATACAAATGCTAGTGTGAGAACCAAATGAGAACCAAATGCTAGTGTGAGAACCGTGAGAACCGCTATTTTTATTTGGGTGTAGTGCTATGATTGATTGTGTTTGATGTTATTTTTAACTAGGATGAATTTTATTAAAAATAGCAACACAATTTCTGGTAGCACTTATAAAAATGATAGCATCATCAAATATGAAAAATAGCATCATACACAATTAAAAATAGCATAAAAAAGGTTCTCACCAGGAGTAGTTTTTATTTTAACCAGTCCCAATATATATAAATGTATATATAGACAAATATGTAAAAAAAAAATGTCTAAACAATTTGTTTAAAATATCTAAAATATTATAAGCATAATTTAAAAAAGATATTATGTCAGATGATACCGAATTTATGGCGTTACTTCCATCTTAAAAATTTGATTACACACCATCGAGGATGTATTGTTAGCTTATCATATTTGTAAAAATATTAGTAATTAGATCGATAAAAATTAGCTTTTTAAAGTAGATAATGGATTTCTAGCCGTAATTATGAATTGATTTTTATTTTATTTTATTTTTTTAAATCTTTATAGATAAGAGATGAGATTTTTTAAATATGCAATGAGATTTTGTAACAGATAAAAGATAAACTCTAGATTTATGCTATGAGATTTTATAACGCGATTTTCAATACAAAAAAAAAACAGGAAAAAGGAAAATAGATTCTAACACAACCCAAAAAAAGGAAAAAGGAAAACAGATTCTAACACAATTAATCTGTCGATTTTGTTGTCTTATCAATATTGTCCAACAATTACTATATATAGGATACATTTAATGTATTTGGTGGAAAAATATTTCTAAAATTATAAAAAGGTTATTTTTTGTATATAATGATAAATCACTTTTTGGTCAAACTGTTAATAAGTATGCTTAAACGGATGGTTACGCCTGCCGCGCGCTGTCTCTGGTGGGGGATTTCAACAAATCATATCATTTTATCACATAACATTTACTGCTAATTTTAATCAATTATAAATTGACAATAAATTTTTTTGTAAATTATACACTTATAAAAAAAATTATAGCAATTATTTATTTATTTTTTCAAATTAATATCATTATTTTATTTTTATCTCATTAAGCAGTCTTTTTAATTTCTACTTGATTTAATGGAGTAACAAATCCTTTAAATCTGTATAAATAATTTCAATATAATAATAATAGTAACTTTTTTTTTTTCATCCCACTAAATGGTTTGGCTTCATTAATTCTTTAAAATACATTATTCATTATATTTTATGCCATATAATGTTTTGTTTGTATATATGCCCGTGCAGAGCCTTGATTACTAGGTAAATAAGAAATTATACAATTTCAATTCTGTGCCGAATGAAAAACCCAAATCTCCAAGCCCTAATTCCTCTCCCGTTCTCCACTCTCTTGTCTAGCTTTGATTGAATTTCAGCTTTTATTTAGTTTAACAAAAGCCCAATTCTCCAAAACCCTTGTATGTCTTTCTCTCTCTCTCTCTCTCGTCTAGCTCCGATCGAATTTCCGTTTACTCGGGTTTATAAGATCTGTTTTTAGAGAGTGACATTTTTTGGCTAGGCAGTATAATTGGAGTACAATGCTCTGAGAAGCTTCTCGAATTGAGTTTCTATATCTCAGGCAGAAATGGTGAGTTCTTAATTTACTAATTTCTTCTTCAGATTTGTTTTATAAAGTAAATGCTAGATTCTGAGAAATTGACGTGGCTTATGTAAGGTGGTTCACTTAATTATGTAATTTTTTTTCAAATAGGAGTTTTCTGCTGCCGATTATGTGTTCAATTTCGAAATAATGATCCTGTCCATTATTTATCCATGGACAGTGATAGCATTTTTTTTTTTCATTGTGTTTGTTTTATTTTGCTTCTTGTTTTTGTTGTTTTCTTAATTGCAGTCGGATGTTTTCTCGTTTAATGTTTGTTTTACTGGTGTACTAGGCTTATAATATTGATTTTTGTTTGCTTTAATATTCTCAAAGTAAATTAGGAGATTACTTATGATCACTGTCTTGCAAGATTTAACCGCATGTTGTTAATATGAGTGTTTCCCTCAGCATGTTATGACAAATCTTTTCCGGTTGTCAATAATGTATTACATCTGAACACATTATTGTATCACATAATATCCTGCGACAAATGCATCTGTTATCTGCATTTGAAAATAAAGTTGCAACCTTTAGTAATTTGGTGTTTTTTGTACAGAGCATCAGAGAAGGACGAGGCAGACCTCGTAGGGATTACCCATCTTCGAGATCAGAAGAGAAGTCTCACCATGGCCGAGGAAACAATCCTCCATCAAGGCACCTTTGGGCCGGGAATATTTCTCACAGCATAAGTGAGAAAACTTTAGCCCATTATTTTTTACGTTATGGAGATCTTGAGAGCATTGCATTTCAACCAGGAAGAAGCTACGCTTTTATTAATTATAGAAATGAAGAAGATGCCTTTGCTGCAATTAAAGAGCTTCAAGGCTTTGTTATTGGAGGGAATCCACTTAAGATTGAGTTTGCTAAACCGGTTAGTTTGGTTAACCTTGGTCTAACTACTTATGGTATGGCGTTAGAGCCCCTTATTGTATATCTTTACATTTTATTTATTTTTTCAAAATTTTCTGGGTTTTCAATGAAACCTTTGTCATACATGTTGGTCATCACGATAACGTAAAATAACCAACACACGAACAAGCGAAGAATGCAATGCATTGTACCCTCACGTCATGCGAAATCCACTGGTTTGAACATTAGGATGTAAAATGATTTATATATCTACTTTTCGACCGACGATCCCAAGAAGCCATTGCGGTCAGAAATTTTTAGATTTATTATTCATGTCATGGAAACTTAGGAGCCAATAGGATTGGCAATTTGAGCAAGGTTTGGCGATGAGATATTATATTAGGAGAGGTGTCTTGCGTCTTGGTCGGATTAATTTAAGCTACCAAAGATTACTGACTTGAAAATATGATGAATAACTATATCGAGAACCAGAAGAATGGATGTACTTGTTATCCTGGAGATCCAAAACTCGACTTGCTGCTTTTTGATGAGTTAATTAACGACAAGTAACATCTTACCCATTAGTGGGGTCGTGGGGAACTAATTTTGAAATGTGCTTAGCATGGGAATATTAGCATGCAGCGCTTAGTTCGGTTACCACTTCGTCGATCAGATGCTTTACCATTCTTATCAAGCAGGACAATTATTGCTCTTAGTTCAAGGGCACCATGAAACTTTCGACCTGCCAACTATATCCTAAATTATTGTCTGAATGTTCTCTGCTGCTACTTATTTGATTTGATAACTGAAAGTGAGACCTCCATGCTACATCCAGTGCATTTATAGTTCCAAGCGCAAATTGCGGTTTCATTGCCACAATATTCCAAGCTCATGAGAAGATTTCTTCACCAAATCTTTATACATATGTGTGTGAGGCAGATCTTCATATTGATTTTAAATTTGCTGTCTGGTCATATCCATTCAAGCTGCATCAATTCCCGAAAAATCTGAAGTAAATTACCGCAGAACAATGCCTTACCAGAATGATTTTGACTTGATACAAAACATGAGTGTTATGTGCAATACAAACAAACAAACTAGTATTGTAGAGGAACAGTGTTCTCAGCAACCAACACACCATCAAATAGCATGGATACTATCACAACTCACGTGCCCACCCTAAGAAAAATAAAAGTAGAAAATGTTGAAAAATTTTCAAACAAATGTGAACGGAGAGAAAATGAATGAGAAGATGAAGAACATTGTCTAATTAATTCTTTCTTATGCTCATGCAGTTCATGGTTCTTAGCTCATTGATCTTTATGCTAAGATCAAGAAATCCTTCACATGATTTCTCCTGACTAACAAGCATACATGTTTGAATGATTTGCTATCAAGTTATCAAGGACCATTTTTGTGCATCATTATTGAAAGAAAATCCATCAGTGTGGGAAGCAATTTTCTTAATTTTGGAGTGTTCCATGTATTTTTATTAAAAGATCATCGTGAAATCGTTTATACAAACTATCCTGAATGTCCAACGTAAAAGTTAATTTGATTTGGTCATCAGAGCATCATGGATAAAAATTGCACATTTTATTGAAATAAACTTCATTAGCTTGAAATTGCAACTTTCTTAGATTGGGAGGTATCATCTTGAAATGACACATTACGACGTAATTAGTTTGCAATGAAATGTATATCACTGTCTTTCTAGAGTTGCATGTTCACAACAGATGTACTCCAGTCCAGTTTTAGAGAGTATATTAGCTTGATTTTACATTCTGGACTATTTAGCTGATTGTGAAGATTAGTGTAAGTGCATCCAGAAGAGAATGCTCCTCCCTTTTCCCGTTCTCTCCCTTGACCCCTTCTGAGCTTGCCATTAAGGATTTTAATGATTTAGTGCATGCTTCTCAAATTTTGGAAGTTCTATGCGATTACGATAATCCATTTAGATCCATACTCGGAGTTTCAGCATTGCCAATGAAGTTTGCTTAACATTAAAAAATTAGTGCGGAAAGAGAAATGTGTTTCTTGTATGTATTATTCATGAACCATTCATCAAGCAATGAATTGACATGTTTGCTTAACATCAACTATCAAGCACTTGAATAAATTGCCTCACCTAATTTCTTCAGTCTGCTATTCCAATTTAAAATCTTGATGCAAGCAGTTAGAAGGTGGTTAACTTTATATTTTCATGGCATGACTGAATGAATATATTAAGTTGTTTTTGGTTATTATGCCTGGATGAAATGCATCCAAAAGTACCTTAGGATAGAAAGATAATGCATATCATCAGGAGAGCAGAACATACAACGCATGTTAAATTGTGCTTGATTCTTGAACCCAAAATCTTATATTAACTATTCCTTCATATCAACTTATCTCAGCAACTTTTCTGTACCTGCAAAGTTTTTTACCCCTCCTGCTATGTGTTGGCGAGATGCTTGCTTGAACACTGTTGGATTTTGCGATAATTCAGATATGGATTCCTGTCGTCTTCTTTTGAATATGATTTGCGCAAGTAGAACCAGTTTATTCCAATCAAATCAATTGAACTTGAGGATGGGGAAAATTTAGTAAGAGTAAAAACTATTCCACTCTAAGAAAAGCGCAATAACCATGCCCCCGTGATGTTTCATTACCAGCTAGGCTGCTACCTTCAGTATCTGCAAGTCTACCATAAAGGCACTATTTCATTTGTTATGCTTCAGCCCGATATACACTTTGATGTTTTTCAAGAAAACACGCACTTCTGATAGATCCCTATCAGTTCCAAAACGGCATAAAGATTCAGCATCTCTTGAGTATTGTTTGACTAGTACATAAAACAAAGACTTAGTATGTTGTATACCTCTTCTGTTTCGCTTTCCCATAACCGCTCAGAAGATTCACTCTTGTTTCTGCTGATATATTCCCTGTTTTATCATTGTTACACTGTAGGGCATACTTGTTAAAAAGAGTGAATGCAAGGTATGCTCCTTGTCAAGCTTAATCACTACACAATGAGAAATTATATATAGCTGGGAACAAACATGGGTGCGAGGCATATCAATCCTAAACATCCAGCCTTCGAATCTTATCAATATCAGTAAATTATTTTATTAAATTAACTCTTCAGCACTTCATTATCAAAATCTTCCTTGTCCTTGGACCTTGATCAACTTAAAGTGTTGAGGTTCTCATAGTACATTCATTGTGTACCTAATCATAGACAAAAAACTGTGAGGCGTGTTCCGAGTTGGGAAAGTTCCCTCTTACTGAACTAACAACATTTCTTGGGACTCTTCTTATTTATAGTATAAATGAAACGTCAGANTCTCCTCGTGCTGCATCTTTTGCAGTCCTGTTACAAGAAGCATGGCGAAGTTGTAGGGAAAAAAATAAAAAGAAGAAAAAAATAGAAGATGGATAGGTGTGATGAGAAAAAGAAGAGAGTAAAATACGGAAAGCAAGAGAAAGTATAAAGACCTGTAGAGGAAATAAGGCAGTTGAATTGTAATGTTCAGAAGGATTAGGTGTTATTTCAAGTTCCTTGTAATTTTTGTATTGGGAGAAAGGGACAAGGTACAGTGGCACCTTATAGAACGGCTCATCCAATAAATGCACTTCGGATCATATATGCATTGTGCATCACATGTGAACACTTTGTTTTGGTTGTGCATACCGTATAGAAGAGAAAACTGAAGGGTAGCCACTGTTTTCTGAGCATAATTTATATGTTATGTATCTTATTCACATGTTCGGGAAGCCGTAAATTGACGTAATCCTTATTTGTATAAGAAAATAATGTACCCAGGAGGATTGGAGTTGCTTTCTCTGTATTTTCTGATACTCCTTTATATTTTTATGTTAGAGGAATATGTTTACTCTTTGCATTTCTACAAAATGTTCCCCTCCTTATTTTGTTTGTTTTGTTTCCTGGTGTGCAGAAATAATGCAGAGAACAATAAGATCCGTGTTTCTGTTGGTGGTACGGGAACGTGTGATGTTAGACAGTTATCTGAAAATTGAGATTTTCTATAGGGATTTGACCATTAGTGTTTTAGCTGTGTCTCAAAACATTCTGTTAGTCATTTCACTGATCTGCAGATAGTGGGTTTTCGTGTGTGTGAAGAAATTTTGAGATTAGTACCGATAGTAGACTTTCTACCTTTTCAAGCATGTGAAGGAATTCACTCTTTGTTTTGTGTTCATAAAACATATTTTTACATGCTTTCTGTTACACAAAGCAATGACTTGAGCTATCATAATTTTCTATTGGATTTTTGGGCATCAGCCTCTGTACGTGCTCTTCATCTCTGGAACGACACTGATATAAGATTTTAGAGAATTGCATTTCACCTTATGGATGTTCATTGAAATATGTTAATGTTATTGATGCATTTTACCATTGCGATATTAAATTATTGATTACCTTACTTTAACATTTGACTTGTGCTTGACACTAATATCTGTTGGTAACCATTGAGTACTAGAAAGCTTACCAGTGATAAGAATTCTGTTTCAGATAGAGAATTACCTCTAACCAACTTTATTGAATCTGAACAAAAATTAAATCCATGAGTTTGTGGACGAAGATTGTTGGTTTGTAAAAGAAACACTGGCTATGGATTATCAACTAATACGTGACTTCAAGCAGTTGCATTCTTAATGCTACTCCATTTGCAGGAAAAATCACCACCAGCATCACGTGATGCAGATTACTCAGAAAGGCGGGATAATCCGTATCCCAAGTCTAGAGAGTCACCTTTTTCCCCTCGGGACTCCAGGGCACGTCACGCCATTCCTGAGCCATTACATCCAAGTAAATCTAATACGCGCGACAAAGATTCAGAACCAAGTGAAGTCTTGTGGGTCGGATTTCCCCCCAACATGAAAATGGATGAATATGTTCTGAGGAAGGCCTTTTCACCATTTGGAGAGATTGAGAAGATAACTGTATTTCCTGGCCGTACTTATAGCTTTGTCCGTTTTCGAAATGTGATGGCAGCCGCTAGAGCGAAAGAAGTACTGCACGGGAAATTATTCGGAAACCCGCGTGTGCATATTTGTTTCGCAAAGAATGAGTCGGGACAGAGAATCCCAACAGATGCTCCACTGTCCCCACATTTTAGATCATACGAGCACGAAGAGTCTTTCGAACACGTTCGACACAGCCGAGATTTCGGCAGAGATCCCAACATTAAATCTCCACCCTACATTCCAAAATACGGCGCACGCGAGCGGATGAGGTTCCCCGTGCATGGGTCTGAGGTATGGCTATCTGGAGATATATACGAGCCTCTGGATAGCCCTAAAAGGAAGAACGTAGGGGTTCGTATTCGCGAGTTCTCCCCTCAAGAATTTCCTCGAAAAGGTCAGATCCTTGATGATGACCCATGGGATTTGCCTGAGGATGTATCATTTTTGCGTGGGCCAAAGAAGCTGAAGACTGAAAAAAGCACATTTCTGATCGACAACGAGCTTCCGGAGTATCCACTATCCGATCTGGAGAAACCAAAACGTGTAGAGTATGCTGATAAGGACGATGAGTCCAGACATGTAGGGTACAGACCAATTATTCCACAGCGTTTAATGAATATGGCCCAACCACTTGGGGAAAGGGTCGATCACTGGAACTTGCCACGTGATGAATTTCAGGTTGCTCCGGCCCAGTTGCCTCCCGAGAGACGTCAATCGTCTTTGAAGGAGGTATGGAATTGGGAGGGAATGATAGCTAAAGGGGGGAATCCCATATGCCGTGCTCGATGCTTTCCTGTTGGAAAATCACCTGACATGATCCTGTAAGTAGTGCTCTGGTCATTAGTCAATATGCATAAAGCTTGCCTGTGTTGTGCTTGTGTGGTTTTTGGTTTCTCTGCAAAGATTTTATAGTTTATGATTCAAATAAAGACCCCAGTGTTTATTCACTTGTTTAATCATCTTTTGGTCTTTGTTGATCTGTGAAGCCATCATAGTAGCATTTACATGGATCTGGTTTTTATCGGGATATGGCTAAACTGCTTTCATTACGCTAGTATTTCAAATTCAGTCTTCCCTATTTCCAATTTTATGCTAATTATCTAAAAACTAAGGAAACCTGTAAAGAATATGGCTTGTTGTTTATGGGTGTTTTCGGTCAAGAGTTGCGAACTTATAATATGCAGCTTTATTATTATCTTGTTCTACCAATTCACTCATCAGATGATTTTGAATGCTGCTGCAGGCCTGGATGCTTGGACTGCACAGCAAGGACTAGTTTAGACATGCTCGCAAAGAATTACTACCAGGCGGCTAGTGCTTGGGTTGTCTTCTTCGCCCCTGCCAATGATCCCGACATTTCGTATTACAATGAATTCATGAACTATCTCGGGGAGCGACAGCGGGCCGCGGTCGTAAAACTGGACGAATTGACCACTTTATTTCTCGTCCCTCCTTCCGAATTCTCCGAAAAAGTTCTAAAAGTACCCGGCAGGCTGAGCATCTCAGGAGTCATCTTAAGCCTAGAAACTCCCGGTTTAAGCTACGGGCCCACACCTCTAACCGAAAATCGAGAACCGTCTTCATCCACGCCTTCCAAGCCTTACTTGCCAAATCCACCCTTTACTAATTACGAGAGACCTGGAATAAATATGGGATCTGTTCATGGAAATTCTTCATCGGGTGGGCCCCACTGGCCCGATCACGATTTCCACCGTTCGAATCCTTTGAGCAGAATTGGTTCTGTGGGCCACCCTTTTCCGGCAATGCCTCAAACAGGAGGTAACGGGAAATTTCCGGTGCTGGAGAACACTTCATCGACTCCCGCAGCAGGACTCCCATCGGAAAAACTGTCCCAGCTGGCATCATCCCTTCTCGGACAACAGCAGGGGCAATTTAGTCAATCTGGAAACCCGTTTGTTAAAACGTCACAGTATTACGGGGCACAGAATAACGAGCAGGGGATTTCGGATTTGGGGCAATCACGGGTTGGTCAAATGCAGCAGCAATCGGGAGAGTTAGGTTCGTCTCAGGCTAGCCAGCAGCAGTCACAGAATCCGGTGAAGGAAGATGATAGTGAGGCCGACCCACAGAAACGTCTGCAGGCGACCCTTCAGCTAGCTGCGAGCCTTCTTCAGCAAATTCAGCAAGGGAAAGGGAAATGAAAGCAGAAGAATGTGAGACGAGGAATTGTGATTTGTGATATAATTTATGAAGTTCTTGAATATCTACATTCTGTATTTCTTTTACTTCTTTTCCTTCTAATTTTTGTGGTTACACAAAATTGGATGAGGCCAACTGATGCGAGTATATATGTCTATTTCGAACTTGAGAGTTTCCTATGTTCTTAGCTTCCAATTTTAAGGGTGAAGTTAAATTTTCTCTTAGGCTGTGCACCAAAATAATACGATAATGCTAAGCATTCAAATCGTTATACTCCCTTCCACCGTTTACTGAGCTTTTTTTTTTTTTTTTANTTTTTTTTTTTTTTTTAGAACGAAAACTTAAACGTATAACCGAGCAATCAAATGATCACAATCATGGATAGATCCCGCAAACAGCCGCAAGGATTTCTCCAGCTGAGGAAGCTAACACCTACTCCCCCTCCACAACACACTGGCTAAACAACTACTAGAACTACACACTTACATTAAACTCAAATACACAAACAGAAAAATGTTGAATACGAAGAACAATATCTTCCCAAAAGATAGAGTTGAAATTCTGACCACAGCTTCTTTTGTTCAGCAAATTTACCATCCTTTCATCTTCTAGGCAACATAGAAGAGAGTCTAACTAGTTCTCCTGTGTTTTCTTAAGGATCCATCGAACAGTCACTAGTAAAACCTCCTCAGAACTGCCATCAAAAAATTTTCTCCCTGTCCAGTCCATGTTTATCCCTCCCCAGCAGCAAAGTACCTCCAAACCCTAGCCATCTTCTTCTTGAAGTATGAGCACTAAGAGCAAGGATTTGCTAACCTACTCTCCTGGAAAAAGCTTCAATAAGAGTTTGGTTAACAGGCCCTTCCTTCTTCCTTTTCAAGCTATCAAGTTATGTCACATAAATAAATCAAGCCCTTCATTTCTAGCCCTGCCAATGTCCTTCCTGCCCAAATAGATCTAAAAACCCAAAAGTTTCTAGTCTTTTAGAGCAACCAAAGCGGGTAAGTTGAAAGACTTGAACTCCCACATGCATTTTGTTCATATCCACACATTTGAAATATGGTGTTACAAAAGAGACAACTTCCTATAATACATATACGTATAACAAAGATACATATAATACACACTTAGCACAAATTTACGATTCTCAAGATAAAAAGACAAAGGCCACTCTTATTAATATACCAAATTACGTACACAAATCAACCTCCACAGCCACCGCAGCCTCCACAACCGCCACCACCGCACCCCCCGCCGCCTCCTCTGCGGCCGCAGCACCCTTGAGAGGCGCTGCCATCACTATTCCGGTCCGTCGTTTGGTCGTTGCTGGTGGCGGCCACCACCACAGCTGCTGCACCCACGGCGGCTCCGGCTCCGGCTCCGGCCAGAACCACCATATTCCCATCCTTCAAACCGCGATCGGCAGTACCCTTTGACTTCCCACCCTCGATACTGTGCACATAATTACCAGGCGGCGGCCAGGCACCACGGGATTTGGCATGCCGCTCGTCGAAATTCCCTTCTTTGCGGCCTCTAGTTCGCCGGACACAGCAAAACATGATTATTGTCTTATTCTATATGGAGACAGGCGGTTATATAGTGTCTGGGATTGACCTATTCAAACAAATGTTTGACTAATGCATATATCTGTTTAGTCAATTGCGCAGTTGCTGCAAAATGGCTGCCTTGTGAGTGTGTAACTTGGAGGAACTTCAGTAGAAAAATCATCAACATACCCTTTGTTGTTTCCTCTATTACTTGCGGATTTGTGCTAATGAGGTACGACTTTTCATTGGCTATATAATAGGGATAAGTAGGGGATAATTTGACGGGGTCTTGGCTATTGGTGGTCCCAAAGGATAACTATTTGCTTATCCATTTGGTTTTTGTCGTCTGTGGATATGATTTTATCAGCCACCACAGAAAATCAAGGAAGAGATTACCCATAATTAACTATAATTAACTATAAAATAAAAGGTATATATGAAAAATCTCATTTGTATAATTGAATAGATTATAATGTGAGAGAATAGTATTGTAAAAGTATATGAAGAAAGAATATTATTGTAATGAGTGATTTAAGAAGAGTTGAAATTGAAAATAACTAAATTAGATATTCCCTAGACAACTAATTAAGTTGATGTAACATTTCGACATATGAAATGTTGGATTCTATGGAAAATGTCGTCGACGTGCACATTTGAATCCATAAAAAATAAATCTTAACGCATCGAAATCTATAGTTAGGATCAGTAGTTATGATTTAAGATTTTTGCCGACTCTAAGACGTGTCTAATTTTCGTTGATGGAGATCGTCTTAATCTCGTTGAGTCGTCGTGTCGCTCGCCATCACCATGTCATGTTTCCCGATGTCCGAATCACGTCTCGCATTGTCGGGCTTGTTGGACTGTAATCGGACTGCACCTGGGCTGCTGGAGGTGGTCCGGACTCGCCACGACTCGTCTGGTGCATGGACGACTCGCCTGGAGTCCGCTTTTGTGCTGGTGGCCGAGACTGCATGGCTGAGACTGCACGAAGTCAGTCCGCTGGTTGCCGAGACGGGTCGTGCAGGGACGCTGGGACGCGTATCGGGTCAAGCTGCAGGTACACGCGGGTTACGCTGGGAAGACACAGGCCGCGCTGGGAAGATCGGATCACGCTGTGGGTGCTGGAGAGGCATGGGTCGCTACGATCCGCTGCCTGCATGCGCGGTCTGTGCGCGGACGTGCTGCCAGCGTGTGCGGTCTGCATGCGGACGTGAGCGGGTCGCGCGGTGGCGCATGAGGCTCTAGAACTGACACGTACGACTGCGGATGGTGTTGCTGGGCACACCGGTGGATGCGTCTTCCTCTGGTGGTAGTGCTCTCCAAGTTTCGTGGTCGTCTACATATATTCGTAAATATTCCTCGGGATGCTAAAAAAAACCAATTGGGATCTTCTCAAGTATGACCACATTCTTCTAATCGTCTTGGTGGAACGAGTAAACGAAACTACCAAAGCTTCTCAATTTTCTCTCCTAAAGCCTCTCGGTTTTATACAAATTTTTGAAAGAAAAGAATTCTTCTTCAACACGAGTAAATGTGTGAGAATCATTGTGTGTGTAGGCTAGGGATTTGGTGTATTTATAGGCTACAACAAAGACTATAAGGAGGTGCTAAGGGTTTTCCAAGTAGGATTATGAAACATTGTGTTCACACCTTGTATTCACACTTTATTCCTACTTTAATAATAGAACATTCCACTATATAGTAATATTATTTCACTCTCCATTTAGCTCCAAATTACAATTAATTCGTCTCCCGACTAATTGCTCGATTTACCTCCTCATGATTGAGATTTACATCCGATGATTAATTTAATTACTGACAATATAATTCATCAAGTACTTGAACCGAAAATAATGCCACTCAATATTTTATATATTATGTCAGAAATTATTCCACCGACCAAGTTTAACATAATAATTATTCTTGAGCTCATTTCGGGGACGTCATCAACCTGACGGGCCGGGACATGGTGACTAGTGTAAACAATATTCTTAACGGCAGTCAACCTAACAGATTATGTATCTCCCTTTGTAAATCAAATAAGTAAGTTTTGAATACATATGCCCGATTATTGTCTTACGGGTTAAGAGAACGCAACAATTACTGAGGTCTAGCCTATTTACTTGATCAGTATAAAATAATCTTATTTTCCTGTATGTCCGTTTAATACATCGAAGATGTATACCAATGTAATTCGTTAGTCAAAGATCAACTAACTCGAAAATTACACTGCAGCCTTACACAAAAATTAGTTTAATTTTGTTTGGGCCATGAACGAATTTTTATATTTTATAAGACACCTATAGTATGATCTTTCTGTTCGACTCATATCAAACCATATTATCTACAATGTAAAATTATGAAACTATGTTCATATAAATAAATAAACTACGAGTATACACTTGACTAAAAACATATATCTCATTCAAAATAGAATTTGGAGTAACCACAAGCCGAGCTTGTATAGTATACTCTAACAATCTCCCCCTTATTCTAGGTATACATTCTTCAACCTTTATTCTCAAAGAACTGTTGTCGTAACAACCACCGCCGTCAGGTGCTGCTCAACACCCGCCTACCAGTGGTTGATTTCAACAAATCATATTAATTTTGAATGTCTCGACTCAATCATTATTAATTTTTTGAAAAAAAAAAAAAAAAAACAAAAAAAAAAAAAAAAAACTCAATGAGTTGAGCATTAAATTTTATCGGGATATCACCGGAGATCTGACTGTTCGATTTTCATAAAGAATTAAATGGGATCTTCAGCTCGTCAATCAAACCTTTTAGTAGTCAGAAAAACTCAGATGAAGTTTCTATTTTCAGAGAAGCATGGCGAAAGGACGAAAACTTCAATCGATGATAAATTGGTGATTCAGTTATCCAAAATTTGGTGGGTGAACTCTCATGTTGTTCCTCTTTTTATGTGATGCAATACCCCTTAGTCGATCTGATGTTTTGAGATTATTATATTAGACATCAGTTAGAAGTGTCATTTTCTATGCATTTTTCAATTTTTTTTTTAATTATTTTGTTATGTTTAAGCTGACAACAGGTATTATCGAACGACGATTTAACTATTGCCCTTAGTTTTTAACGTGAAATTGATGGTACGAATCTAAATGAATGATTGGTACCAAAATTGATTAAGTGAAAAATTCGTGTACCAAAATGAAAAGGAAGTAAAGTTTGAGTAGTTGATATGACTTCTTTTAAAAAAAAATAAGGATACTTTTTCTTTTAATATTTATTTAAAAAAGTAAAAAGACTTGTATCACAATTTTAAGAGGTCTATTGTAAGATTTGTAAAAGATATGTACGAGGGGATGGTGGAATGACCTATTACAAAATATGCTATATTTTGTGCCAATTGGGCAACAAAACTCAAGTTGTATTTGAAACTTGGTATGTATATTGTTTACCATTATCGATTATTTTCCTGCTCTGATACCATGTTCATAGGTAAAGCAAAAGAAGTAACCAAAAGAAGTCATGAATATATCTCGATTGTATTGATGGAAAATGATTACAGAAAATGTGATCCAACGGTCACGAAGAAAGAAAATTACAGTATTTATACTAAGAAGAAGAAACAGTACATATGAAAGTACTAAAAAACCATTACAACTCAAAACGGTCAAATGTGTCTAACCGTGAGACAAAAAAAAAAAAAACAGATATAACTGTCATTATTTCCACACTCAACACCTATTGGGGTCACTGTTTCATCTGAAACTATTTTCGAACCATTTCATAAATGGGACATATATTAAGAAAAGTGTACACCCTAGTTAGCTGTTACATAAGTAGTAGCAGTAGAGTACATTTTATCAAGAAGTGAATAGATTGTAGACCTATTGAAAAAATAGTAGCAATAAAGAACATAGAGGAAATATTTTTTCTCCTTGCTATTTATTTTTTCCAAGCAATACACAAGTTGTCGATATTAGTTTAACGGAATCTGAAGTAGAGGAATGGTTAAAGGAAACTTTCCAAATGAGAACATTTATAAGTAATTATTTTCTTTTATTGCTGCTACTAATAATAATAATATCAAATTCCATAAGGGCTATTCTAACACGGATCCAACACGACCCGGACATGTCAGCATTTAATTCCACTTGTAATCACTTATTAATATTTGAAAGTGATGCATTCTCATCTCCATCTAGTTATAAGATCAAATGGACTACAATATTGCAGTCCGCCACTTTATAAAATGACCTAATATATGCAACGTACACATGCAGTAATACATCACAGTTCTAAGGATTAATTGCTGAAAAAAAAAAAATGTTTTGACAACAAAGTAAGATATATGAAGCTTACTTATAAAAACTGTAAATATAGGCTAACTNTCAAGCCTAAATTGCCGACATATCCTCTTTAACTATCCATATTGTTTAGCTTGTCCCTTATTTTAATAACAGTAAATCATATAATTGCCTATGTGTTCTTTCCCCGATAGCATGCTCTCTTTATGTAACTAGTAACTAGTAGAATGCACGTGCATCGCACGTGGTGATAAATGTTTTTTGTTGATTAAATATAGTAAAATAAATTAATTAATTTATTAAACATATCATTGTAGGAACGAAATAAAATATAGAACAAATGAGCTTCTATTGTTTTTTTTTTTAAATATTGACGTCCTAATATAAAAAGAATGAAATAATATATTACAACCCCAATAAAAATATAGTCCTTAATGGGAAAACAACACTAAATAACTAAATAAGGACTTAATGTATATTATAGATGCATTAGTTATATTCAGTTGTGTTAGATGATTAAAGAATGATTTTCTTTCATTTTAGTTTTGTCGTTTTCATAAGAATTACATTCATACTCGTTGAAGCGCAGTGCATCAATAGTATTGCAAAATTCTTTTTAATTCATTTGGCAAAACGTCTACTTTATTCTAACACTTACAAATATTCTGACCAAACATATAGTCAAACATCATGATTGTATGATCTTTATAATGTATTTCTATTAATAGTTCATGAATA